TTGAGGCTCGGGCCCAGCAGGAGGACGGTGGCACAGGCGGGGACCCTGGAAGTGAAGGGAGGGCTCAGCCTGTCCCCCGCGTGAGGGGCAGACAACAAGCACCTTCCCCCCAAGAGGTGAGGGCACAAGTCGGGCCGTCTCTGCCTCCGGCCTCTCTCCTGTCCTGCTCCCACCTGGCCAGCCACCCCGGGTGTCCAAGGAGGCAGCACCAGAGACAGCAGGGTTACTTTCTCCTCCCCCTCCCCTTCCTCCTCTCCTCCCCCTCCTCTCCCTCCCCCCCTCCCCCTCCCCTCCCGACAGCCCCCCTTTCAGTTCCTTACAATCCAGTCTGGCAGGGCGAGCTGGGCCAGACGAGTGGGAGCTGGGAAGACACAGTCAGAGGCCAGCTGGGGCCAAGAGCCACAAACCACGGTGCCCGTTCCCCCACACCGCCCCCACCCGGCCTTGGCTTGGCTGCCAGGAAGGCGGGGGCAGGGTGGGGACCCCAAGTCATCTCCAGGACAGGCCCCTCCCAGGCGTCCCCAGGGCGGGAGGGTGGGGCACACACTGAGTCACCAAGCTTCCCTCCCCCTCTCCCGGGCCTCCTGTGTGTGGTGCAGGGAGAAGGTGCTGGCTGGCACGTCTCCCCCCTCCCGCTCCGGGCTCTCTCTGCCTCCCGGGGGGAGGGGGGTCCTCCCTTTGGAGCATGCGCCTTCACGGTCCCCAGGGAACCCACGGAGATCCGGAGTGGGCAGCTGAGCGCCCACCCTGAGTCCCAGGCTGCATCTCCAGGCTGGATGCTTCTGAGGCGCGGGTCAGACCGCGGAAAGCAGGGGATTCCCGCGGGTTCAGCTCCGGCTCTGCCATCCGCCAGCCACGTGAGCTCGGACAGTCACGGGAGTTCTCTGTCAGCTTCGCGTGTGTGCGATGGGGGGAAGGGCAGGATCGGCGCCCTGGCGTGGAGGGTCAGATGCCTCTGCCAGCAGTGCTGGGTCACTCACTGGCAGCTCCTGGCCGCAAGGGTTAACCCCGGAAGGAGGAGCAGCCCTGGTCCCTCTTCCCCCTTGGGCCTGGCAGGACTGGGAGGAGGGCGGGAGGGAGCTGAGACCTCCTTAGGACGGAGACAGGAAGCCTCGGCAGGGAGAGGCACAGGGCCTGCAGGACACGACTGGACCCTCTGAGGCAAGCCGGGGTCTCACATCCGCCAGGCAGACCCCAGGCGCCGGACAGCGCTGTGCCTGGGTGGCGCAGACACTCAGCGTGTTTGGTTAGAAGATGTGCTGGTTCCCACAGGCAGCCAGGCTCTGACAGCCACCAAACTCCTAGCCCGGCGGGGACCGGGTGGCAAAGGCGAGCAGGACGTGGTCCCTGCCTTGCATGTCTCCACCCTCCCTCCCTGGCTGAGCTCAGGGAGGGCAGTGTCCAGCGTCCCCCCACCCCCCAGCATCCCAAGCTTGGGAGCGGGCTCCGGCCATCCAGACAAGCGCCAAAGGAAAGACACTCAGGCCCCACGGCTCCGAAACAGGGCTGCTCCCGTCTGCCCCCAGGCCCAGCGGCCCACGCTCGGGCTGGGCCTGGCGATGCGGGCGACACTGTCCCTTCTGCCTCGTTCAGTCCCCTCACTTTACAGATGAAGAGACTAGCAGCAGAGCTGGGGACGGGACACGGGACCCGGCTGGCCGCTCAGCCCGGGCTCCAGGCTTTTCCTGGGTGCTGGCTGTGCGGCTGGACCTCAACCAGCAGAGGGCAGCAGGGCCCCAGGAGCGGCGCCTGGCCGGCACCCGAGTCCCACCAGTCGCCACCCACGGAGACACGCGCGCCTCACTCCACTCCCTCCGTCCAGCCAATCTGGCCGGACCAGAATGTGAACCATGCTGGCCCGAGCCTGTCGTGGGCCCAGGGTCAGAGAGCCGTGGGTCTGAATCCCATCCCTGAGCTTACCACTTACCAAGGCTGTTTTCCAGCGTGGGCTGGAGTGAGACAGAGCCGCCGCGGGGGCCTGCACACCAGGAGCGCCGCCGGGGCCCCAGGCTGTCTTGTCTGAGTCACTGCTGTGCCGACAGACAGCCGCTGGCCCAGCTCCCTCCTGACTCTGCCTGAGAATTTGCAACAAACTTCAGGGAGTGGCCAGGTGAGGGGCTGGGTGCTGGACTGGGGTGGGGGAGGGGTTGGGGTGCAGGCTGGCCGGCCTGCAGGACCTTCCTGCTGGAGAGAGAGCCCCCTACCCTTCCTGGGAAGACCCCACGAGGTCTCCTGGCAGGGTCACCGGGCGGCCAGCTCTGTCTTTCCTGGCTCCCACTAGCTGGTCACCCTGCACGTGACACCTCCCAGGCTTCAGGAACCAGACACCTCAGGCTCTCCAAGTCTTTACACTCTCCCCCAAACTCCTCCCCAGAGAACCAGAAAAGAAAAAGCCTGGTCAAGAATATTTTGTGGGGCTGGCACTGTGGCATAGTGGGTGGGGCCACTGCCTGCAATGCTGGCATCCCATATGGGCAACGGTTTGAGTCCCAGCTGCTCCACTTCCCTGTTAATGGCCTGGGAAAGCAGTGGAAGATGGTCCAACTGCTTGGACCCCTGCACCCACGTGGGAGACCCAGAAGAAGCTCCTGGCTCCTGGCCTTGGTCTGACCCAGCCCTATCCATTGTGGCCACTTGGGGAGTGAACCAGCAGATGGAAGATCTCTCTCTCTCTCTCTTTGTATGTGTATATGTGTGTCTGACTTTCAAATAAATAAATAAGTCTTTAAAAAAAAAAAAAAAAGAATACTTTGGGAGCTGTGTTGTGGTGCAGTGGGTTAAGCTGCCGCCTGCAACACAGGTATTCCATATGGGCTCCAGGGCAGGAGCCCCGGCTGCTCACTTCCCCCACGTGGGAGACCCAGGTGGAGCTTCTGACTTCAGGCTCCGCCTGGCTGTCACGGCCATTTGGCGAGTGAACCAATGAAGTAAGATCTATCTCTGTGTCTCTCCCTCTTTCTCTGTAACTCTGCCTTTCGAATAAATAAGTAAATCTTAAAAAGAAGAATTAGACACAATTTAATAGTTATAGATAAATTTGGAGAAATACATTTTGTAATAGTTTCGCCAACAGAATGTATTGTTTTGTGTTGTTTGCTGGTTTTCAAACTGACCATGGGTGGAGTGGAAAATATTTATACATAACTATGAAAATTCACTTATGGTTCTCATTTGGTGTATTGGTTCAAAGCACACAACCAAAATTTCTGATAATTGAGTTCTTTAATTCCTAGATTTCGCCTTTTCTCTTGTCCTCAATAACCATTCACTGAAGCCTGTTCAGTAGATTTGAATTTTATGTCAGGTAAGAAAGTATGGGGGCCGGCGCTGTGGCGCAGCGGGTAAAACCACCACCTGCAGTGCCGGCGTCCTACAAGGGCACCGGTTCTAGTCCCGGCTGCTCCTCTTCCGATCCAGCTCTCTGCTGTGGCCTGGGAAAGCAGTAGAAGATGGCCCAAGTGCTTGGGCCCCTGCACCCACGTGGGAGACCTGGAAGAAGCTCCTGGCTCCTGGCTTTGGACCAGCGCAGCTCCGGCGGCCAACTGGGGAAGTGAACCACTGGATGGAAGACCTCTCTCTCTCTCTCTCTCTCTCTCTCTCTCTCTCTCTGCCTCTCCTCTCTCTGTGTAACTCTGACTTTCAAATAAATAAATAAATTTTAAAAGAGAAAGAAAGTGTGAGTAGTGCTGTTGCAGCATGGGAGAGAACGCAGGAAGATCTGTAACAGGGTCTGTACAGAAAACCACAGAAAACAGAGCAAAGGAAGACAAGGACTTGCCCCCCACCCCTGTCACTGCCACCCCCACCCCCATCCACCCCCCACCCACCCCCCACCCCCGTCACTGCTCCAGGCCCGGCCCCCTGAGAGCTTCCCTCCCGGCCTCTGCCCCACCCCAGCCCCCAGCCCCCAGCCCCCAGCTTTCACCTAGTGCTGACCTCCAGGTAGCTGCCATGCAAGCCCCTCCCTGCCCGGCCGCCCCCACCCGCTCCCGGGATGCTTCTCGTACTTCTTGTTTTTATCTTGGTTGCTCTGTCATTCATTCTCCCACTCCCATTCCACAGCTTACTACAAACGCCGCCGCCCCTCCCCCACCCCAGCTAGGACCCCTCCCTAGCTGCCCTGCTTCAGGGACATCAGCCCCTTACCCTCTCCTGACCCTGGCTGCTAAGACACTGGTTGCCTATGCCCCCCCCCCCCCCAACCTGGGCTGGTTTAGGACTTTTTTTTTTAATAGCCGTAATACAGCAGAGAGGGAGGAATTGGGGTAATGAGATTTTGGCTTGAGCGCTTCATTGTCATCCACAGAGACAAGGAGGATTAGAAAAAGAGAGGCCAAGGGTTGTGTTTGGGGTATTCTGCTCTTGATGAGACTATTAGATAGCTTATCAGGTAGCTATCTGGGCTGGATAAATGAGCTGGATCTCGGGGGCGGGGCGGAGATTCAGAGAGAGGCCACTGCTGCAGTTACCCTCGGGTGTCAGGCTTAGGACTTCGAGTCTGGTGCAGGAGACAAAAATAGACGCTTAGATTCATTCTGGTGTCTCCTGGAATCTTCCTTTAACAAGTCTAACCGGCATTGTGGTGCCGCAGGTTAAGCCACTGCCTGTCGGTTCAAGTCCCAGATGCTCCACTTCCAATCCAGCTCCCTGCTAATGCACCTGGGAAAGCAGCAAACGGTAGCCCAAGTCCTGGGGCCCCTGCACCCGCATGGGAGACCCGGAGGAAGCTCCTGGCTCCTGGCTTCAGCCTGGCCCAGCCCTGGCTGTTGCGGCCATTTGGGGAGTGAACCAAAATGAAATGGGTCCATAGAACCGGGCACTCAGGCTTCCTGAGTCATCCGGTCCTCAGAACCAGCCTGCTGATGAGGCAGGTGCAGTCAACAGCCCCATCTACAGGCGAGGAAACTCAAGGACAGAAACTATGGGGTGGGGTGGGGGGGGGGTGATGAAGCTGTGGCATAGCGGGTTAAAGCCCTGATCTGCAGTGTCAGCATCCCATATCGGCGCCAGTTCAAGTCCCAGCTGCTCTACTTCCAATCCAGCTCCCTGCTAATGTGCCTGGGATAGCAGTGGAAGATGGCCCAAGTGCTTGGGCCCCTGCACCCATATGGGAGACCCAGAAGAAGCTCCTGGCTCCTGGCTTTGGATCAGCACAGCTCCGGCCATTGGGGCCATCTGGGGAGTGAACCAGCAGTTGGAAGATCCTTCTCTCTCTCGCTCTCCTCTCTGTAACTCTGCCTTTCAAATAAATAAGTATTTAATAAAATAAAATCGCTCTCAGGCCGGCGCCGCAGCTCAATAGGCTAATCCTCTGCCTGCGGCGCCGGCACACCAGGTTCTAGTCCCGGTCGGAGCGCCAGATTCTGTCCCAGTTGCCCCTCTTCCAGGCCAGCTCTCTGCTGTGGCCAGGGAGTGCAGTGGAGGATGGCCCAAGTGCTTGGGCCCTGCACCCCATGGGAGACCAGGAGAAGCACCTGGCTCCTGCCATCGGATCAGCGCGGCGGCCATTGGAGGGTGAACCAACGGCAAAAGGAAGACCTTTCTCTCTGTCTCTCTCTCTCACTGTCCACTCTGCCTGTCAACAAATAAATAAATAAAATTAAAACTAATAATTAAAAAGAAATGTAAAAGAGAAAAAAAGAAAAAGAAATGGATCCAGTGCGTCTAGGACTGGAGCCTCAGCAGCGGCTGGGGAGGCAGAGCCACAGCCGGCAGCCTGGGCCTTGGCGGGACTCCCCACAGGGTCCCTTTCTGCTGACATTCACCAGCCCCTTCTGATGTTCAAAGCCTTTTAAGAGCTCTGATTGGTTCAGACCCCATGTTAAGGAAAATTTGGAAAACATTTAAAAAAAAGGATTTAAATTACTGTTTTGCAGCCTCTCAAAACAACTGTTAATAATTTGCATATTTTCTTTTCTATGAAAACAACTGTGGTGTTGTCTTCACACTTTTATGCAGTTCTGAATTTGCTTTTCTTGATTTAACAGTTTAGCCTAAACTTTCTATACAACTTGGACATATTGTTTATAAAAAAAAACTTTTTGCTTTTGGAATAATTTTACATTTAAGCAAGAAATATAAAAACAGCACAGATTCCCTAGAGATTCTTCAGTTTATCAGAACTAAGACATTGGGGCAGGTATTGTGGGGCAGCAGGTCAAACCACCACGTGCGACCCCCGGATGCTTTATTAGAAACCCATTCAAGGCCGGCGCCGCGGCTCACTAGGCTAATCCTCCGCCTTGTGGCGCCGGCACACTGGGTTCTAGTCCCAGTCGGGGTGCCGGATTCTGTCCCAATTTTCCCTCTTCCAGGCCAGCTCTCTGCTGTGGCCCGGGAAGGCAGTGGAGGATGGCCCAGGTGCTTGGGCCCTGCACCCCATGGGAGACCAGGAGAAGCACCTGGCTCCTGGCTTCGGATCAGCGCCGTGCACCGGCTGCAGTGGCCATTGGAGGGCGAACCAACGGCAAAGGAAGACCTTTCTCTCTGTCTCTCTCTCTCTCACTCTCTACTCTGCCTGTCAAAAATTAAAAAAAAAAAAAAAAAAAAAGCCATTCAAGTTCTGGCTGCTTTGTTTCTGATCCAAGTTCCCGCTAATGTGCTTGGGAGGGAGTGGATGATGGTCCAAGTACTCAGGCCCCTGCCATCCACGCCAGAGGATGGGATGGAGCTCCTGGCTCCTGGCTTCGGCGGGCCCAGCCCTGGCTGTGGCATCCATTTGGGGAGTGAATAAGCGGACCTCTCTCTCATTCCCCATGTGTCTGTAAAACAGGGAGGCAGGGTGACACAGCCCCTTGGGCCATCAACTTGCTGCCTCCCAGGGAGCACGTTAGCAGGAAGCTGGGATCAGGATCGGAGCCAGGACTTGAACCCGAGGCCCTCCAATATGAGAGACGAGTGTCCTAAGCCGCAGCTTGCAGGGTACACCCAGATGGTGGGTGTGGGCTCCGAATCCCTAAGTTTACCCAGTGCAGCACACGGTCCCCCCTCCTGTCCCCACGTAGCCTTCTTGGTTCTCTCTAGTCCCACTGAACACCCTGCCCCTCAGCTCCTCAAGTGCTGA